AAAAGCTTCAGCTGTTTCTTTTCTTTTCTTTTTTAAATTTAATCGTTGTTTTGCACACTGTCGTGGTACTGTCCAAATCAAAAATGGCTTAATCTTTGACTGCCCCTTAAGTTGTACAGTGCTTTTTTGCAAATATCGTTCAACTCATAGCAAACGAGCACACCCCATAGAGTTACCCCCTTTTAAACGTCTAGTGTACATCTGTGGCACAGCCTTCAGTGGAGAAAGGGGGAGGGGGGTTGGCTAGCTGCTTGCTTGACCAAAGTTTAGAAAAGAAAGGGATTGCAAGCTCGCCCAAGAGAGACGGGCCGGGAGAAAGAAAGAGAAAGGGAGAGAGAGAGAGAGAGAGAGAGGGAGAGAGAGAGAGGGGGGGGGGCTTGTACCCTACCTGAAGAAGTCCGAACCTGGCGTTGTGAACCTGGGTAATGCCAGGCTCAAACCGCGAACTGATCCGCCTGACTACGTCCTGGAGTCGTGCCTGGATGTCCATCGGCTGATTGGCTTGTGACGTCATCGGCTCGGACCACTGGGGCTTGGCGGCTGTCCCTGGCGTTGTGTCACTCTTGCTCGGCAGGTTTCGAGGGCGGGGCCTGTTGTCGGCCGCCGCTTGATGGGGCGGGACGTAGAGCTCGTCGCTGGCGCTAGCCCCGCCTTCGCTGCTCCTCCCTGCGCTGCTCCCCTCGCTGTCAGCAACGCGGGGCCCTCCAGCCTGGTTACCAGTGGCGGGATCTCTCATTTGGTCACCCCCTGCTGTATTCGCCTTCCTGTTCTGCTGGTTCACGAAGTTGGTTCGTCCGACGCGTGGCGGAGACGATTGTAAACTGGGGTTCACCGAATTAATCGTCTGCGGGCTGGAGGGATCGACGAGCCGCGCACCCGCAGCTCGATCCAGGGCGTTGGCGTCAGCTCCGAACCCCAGACCTACCGGCGCCCGACCCCTGTCTCTGCCCGTTGCTGGCCTGCGGTCCCCGCCCCCTCTGGCCGCGCCTGTTGTGACTCCGCCCTCCCGGCCGCCACGCCTGGTTGTCTGGCCCCGCCCACCTGCGTCACAGTACAGATGATATCATTACAATGTGAGGAATGATCAAGGTCATTGCCGCAATGGAAGAAATAAACACGAACGCGCGCGCCTGCACACATTCGCTCTCTCTCTCTCTCTCTCTCTCTCTCTCTCTCTCTCTCTCTCTCTCTCTCTCTCTCTCTCTCTCTCTCTCTCTCGCCCTGGTCAATAAAAAGCACCAATGTGAAGAGTGAGCAGCATGGGTTGCGCCATCACAAGTGGAGGACAAAATGTAGCAAAATAAAATACACTCTGAGATCACAAAAAACTTTCTGGGACACAGATATGCAACAAAGAAACTGTACTTCTATGACAATGACAATGACAATGACAATCTTTATGTAGGTGTGTGAATCTCTGCGACTAAAACAGGACTAAAAAGAGAGCAATTTTTTCTAGCACATTTTATAGTAATAACAAGTTGGAAACACACCCAAACACGACCTGTCTCGCTATAGCCAGCTTCACACGGCGGCTTCTCCCCTTATCGTGCATGCGGCTTCAACCGCGCGTCTGCTTTTTACTTACTGCCTTACCCTACGGGTCCACTGAGACTGACACGGCCGGATCTTTTGCCGGGAGGAAGAAAATCGGTCTGGTTGTTTCCGTCTTGTGTGTCCATCAGTTCGGACAAGACACGTCTAGTTTGTTGGCCTACTGGCCGTCTCATTCCACACACTGTGTCCCAAGGCTGTGTCCTCGGTACAGGGCTATAAAGAGTCGAGGTCAATGAACCCAAGGCGGGAATAAGAAACGAATGGGTTTTTTAAGGAAAATTGGTAAAATTGTTAATATGCATTTAAACCAGGTGATTTGAGCGTAGACTTTGCTAATTGTGAGGCGCTGATTACGAATATGACATTAGAATGTTAATTCGAACTCAAAATTAGATTTATTTTTTTTAGCTCCGGCGGGGCTATGGCTCACAAGTCACGACCCGGCCCGGCTAAAATTGAGCAAGCGGCTTTCCAGCCGACACGTCTTTTTTCGGAGCGTATCGTGTTATGTCTGTTGACACAGACAACGGACTTTTCACTGATTTCGTAGGAAACGAACGGTGTTCCATTTCAACTACCTTCTTTCCGATCGGTTGGAGTCCGTCGCAGTGGACACGGGCCCTTACTCTCTCCCTGTACCGTCAGGTACATAAGGCGGAGAGCAGTGGATTGCCAGTCCGCTACTGCTTCCGCAAATAGGGCATAGTGCACGACCAAGGATAGTAAACATCTCTGGATGACTCAGTTCAGCTTCAAGGAGCTACGAATACAATAGCAGTAGGCGGAGCGAACGTCCAATGTCTCACGCATAAAAGCCCATAACATACAGAGTGCACACAAAGGCACAGTTTGCTCTCGCCCGGAGCCAGCATAACAGTTTGCTACCCAGTTTACTATAATACCTTCATTCTCTCCGAGATAATGGATCAAGTTTTGTTTGGAG